TTCTAAATCAATTTCAGTGCTTGACTCTTTAGTGTATTGATTTTAAATGGGCTCATTCATGTTAAGTAAAAGCTATTCTTTTGTCTCAACAAAGGCATGAACTACCAATGATCATAAAGATACTGCATCTCCGGAGAACCTCCTACCAGGAGCTACAAGGAGGAGTCTACTGATCTTGTTTTTAATTTTTAAAAATTGATTTTAGAGAGAGAGAGACATTGAGAAGGAGAGAGAGAAAGAGAAACATATATCGGTTGTCCAGAGGTGCTCTGACTAGGGATCCAAACTGCAACCTCGGTACATGGCCTGGTTGGAATGAAACCTGAGACCTTTCAGTATAGGGGACAATGCTCTAATCAACGGAGCCACATCGGCCTGAGCAAGCCTACTAATCTTTATCTTGGAGAGCCAGAAACCAAAGTGCAAAGTGTTTCTTCAATATGGAGCCTTCCTATTTATCATACAAGCTTCCATTTTAATGTTCAGTCCCACACAGACCATGTTAATTCTTAGTGGAAAGTGAAACAGTCCTTGGTATCCAAATGAGTTCTCAGGGAGAGTGTTTGGACTCCTCAACAGGAAAGAGAGCTTGCATCATCCTTTTCTAGTTTGAAACTTCTGGGCCTTGTAGGTTAAATGCTGTCAGCTGCTCTCAGAACCATCCTGAGATACTTGGATACTATTATATCTATTTTATACTATAAATAGTATAAAATAGATATAATCCCCAAGCATCAGTTCTCCATATATATATATATATATATATATATATATATAGAGAGAGAGAGAGAGAGAGAGAGAGAGAGAGAGACAGAGAGAGAGAACTGATGCTCTGGGAATATGATATAACATCCATTTTCTGACATAAAATTACAAAACTAATGAGAATATAACATGGCCAGGATTTGAATTCTGATCTTTCGAGAGCAAATTATGTATTATTCTCATTTATTCCTCCTCTACCCTAATTTTACTTGTTCACTGTAATAAAAATGAAATGCAGGGGCTTAATAACAAGCTTGTCCAATCATCTGTAGGTAAGTGACTTTTTATAAGGAATAATTGACATGTACCTATAGAATGCATTCCACCTGACAATCAGAAGTTTGATGCAGTTTGAGCACCTAGTGTGGAGTAGAAAAATACATTTTATTGTCACTCTGTCTTTAGAAATTGTAGCCAAAGAAATGCGAGCAATTCCCTATAGTTACACTGCATAGCTGCTGAGAACTTGTACATGTCCCTGAATTTCCCCATGGAGCTAATTACTTGGAGGAAGGTAGGAGGCAAAGACAAGCATCCCCTGTGGAATTTGTCCTTGGTCTACACAGCTTCTCCTCAGCCCACCTAGGTACCAGACACTGGCATTTTCCCAAAGAGGTCATGCCACCTCTGATATTGAGGGCCATCTTATTAACAAAACAAGCATCCGATGGAAGTTACATTGTAAGAGAGGCCAGAATCCATAAAGCAGACCTACAGAGATGAAGTGAAATTCTGCCACCTGTTATCTAAATATGCCTGTGCTTATCAAGGGTGTATGTCTGGATGCTAACTTAATCTTTAACTATCAAATAGTTTCTGGCCATCTCTCCCTCCCACGGCACCCCTGGGTGTGGGTCCTTATTTTTCAAAACATCCCCAAACTCAATCTCCTCACTGAGTCTCCTTAGACTTCTAAAGAGAGTCTTACTTAGCACAAAATTTCCACCTGATGCTCTGTCAGCTCCTTTGTCCTTCCCACCCACCCCTCAACGGGAATCCCTTGATTCTCTTTCTCAACTATATTAACTATAGGGTAGTATTCCTTAAAGCAGTTTCTTAGAGAAAAATTCTGCACCACCATAACAATTTCTGTTCCAGAAAGTAAGAATTAGCTTAGAGCAGAGAAGGAACAAATCAGGGGCTTTTGAGTTTGGTGTGTAAAATTTTGGTGTGTTGCTCTTAGAATTCTCCTATATAATAAAAGGCTAATATGAAAATTGTTCCCTTGACCGGGAGTTCAACCAGGGGTTGGGCCCAGCTGGCCAAGGGCCTGAAGCCCCTCTCCCTGGTTGGCTCTGCCCACTCCCCCCTCCCACTGGGGGCAGGGCCAGCTCACCAACCACCCACAGTTGGACCTCACCCTTGCATAAATTCATGCATGGAGCCTTTAGTAGTTTAATATTGTTAGACAGGTATCTGTACAACTTTAAGTAATTCGCCTTTGTAGCTGCATTTCCCCTTGTTAATATATCATTGACTCATTTATTGCAGATTCCTTCCTCTTCCTATTTACGAGTGAATTTCACAATGTGCCTTTAAAATCTCATTATTTAGTTTTTAATACCCAAGAGATTACTTCTCTCCTGAAGAATAATGGTACTTGAGATGAAGAGAAATGCTCCTGAGACAGGGTTGCCAGACTTAGAAAAATATGCAGTCCATCCATTTAAATTTGAATTTCAGATAGACAAAAATATTCTTTTTTTCCAAAAATACGTTTTTATTGTGTTTTTAGAAATAGAGGGAGAGGGAGAGAGAGAGAAACATTAATGTGAGAGAGAAACATTGACTGGTTGTGGACATATCCTGACTGGAGACTGAACCAGCAGGCTGGGCATGTGCCCTGGACTGGACCAGAGGCCTTTCAGTATATGGGGTGATGCTCAACCAACCGAGACACACCAGCCAGAGCAACAAATATTCTTTTAATATAAGTATGTCCCAAATATTGTATACTTATTTATGGAACATACGTATGCTATATGTAATATCATACTAAATGATCTTAGAATGTTATACTAAAAACTATCCATTTTATATCTGAAATTCAAGTTTAACTGGGTGTTTTTTAATGTGGGCAATCCACTGGAGCAGTTTTCAAATTCTTCAGAGACCAGAGCTGGGCTATGCCAGAATAAGCAGCACATTTTAAAAATTTCCCAATAAGTGGAGGGGGTAAAGGTTGCAGGTTTGATTTCTGGTCAGGGCACATACCTAGATTGTGTTTGATCCCTGGTTGGGGCATGACAGGAGACAAGCAATATGACCAGGGGACTCCTTATCAGTGCCCCCAGAAAAGGAAGAACAGCCCAGCCTAGCTCTGGGAATTCCTGACTTCTGAAATTATAACAAAATAATGGTTATTTTAAGCCATTAAATTTTGGTGTAGTTCTTAGCGCAGCAATAGATAACCAGAACAAAAGGAATGTACTAACCTTTACCCTTAAGAATAGAATGAGGTGGAAGTAAAGAGGGGTGGGCTGATTAGAGAAGGTAAAGGGGGAGGAGTGACATAAAATTCTCTAAAAAGAGAGTGCAATTGCCACGGATATGAATAAAAGATGGTCGAGGGATTTAGAAGACGCACGGTAAGTTTAAAAAATTCAGTCCCAATTTTTTGGCAGGCTGCGACCATTATTTTGGGTTACACTCACAACTTTGGCCCAATTTCTCTGAGATTCAGAGGGAAAACAGCAGCAAAGTCTCGCCTCGTACAGATGCTGTGAACAGTAATGAATAAACATGACAAATAAATAAGATGGAAATGCTAAATATGTAAAAAGCAATCTTTGCACCTACTCAAAATCTTTCATCAGATGATTTCAAATTGAAGGTGTCTCCGGAGAAAATCACTTGGAAAGTCACAAACATATTTTTACATTTTGTACTTTTATTGAAAAGGTACATTTAAAAAAATACACAGACATTTTACCATTTACAGATTGCAGATACAGATGCTCAAAAAGAGTTCACTCTGTTTTGTTGTGGTATGATACTTCTTACCCCTGATATCACAAACATCCCAGTTTTGTGGATATCAGCTTAGAAAGGGAGCATGGGAGCACGACCTGCAACATATTCCGTGAACAGAAAGAAAAATTGTTCAATTATAAATTTTTTTTTCATCTTCTGTACATTATTGCATTAGGGAGCCACAAGATTATGTAGCATCGTTACAAATGAAACCAGGTTAGAAACGAAGGAGATCATTACGTAGAAATACATGGATTCATTGTCTTCTTGCAGAATGCACAGAAGGTGCAAAGAAATGTGCAATTTCGAAAGCTCTTTTCTGTTTGTATACATTTGCTTAGCAACTCAGACAGGTGAGGAAGCTACAAAATAAGTTAAACAAAAATAGCAAACAGGTAGTAATTATAGCTATGTTATATGGCTTTCTAGTTCATTTAAATATCACCCGATAAAATGGAACATGAAGAAAAATACATTACTTTATCTTTTGTTCTCTCAGAGAGAAAATTCAAAGCTATTTTGCTTCCTAACATGTACACAGCAACTAAAAAAGTGTTTAATTCCGACAAGAGATACAGATCTAGTACTACACAGGACACAACAGCACTTGGGTCTAACTAAAACAGTGCACAATCCCTGTCAATAAGAGTACATCGGGACGAAAACGTTGTGATCCATTGGTAGGATGGGGTCCACAAGGCAGCACTTGTGTTCATCTTTTATTTATTTATTTATTTATTTATTTATTTATTTATTTATTTATTTATTTATTTATTTTTTGTTCCACACTAGCATGGGCCGAGTTGGATTCCAGCGTTATGTACAGACATGTGAGGAAGACCTTACCTTTCAAGTCTGTCAGGAAAATATTCCATATTGTTTCTAAGCCAGATCACCCCCAATGGAAAAATAGTCAAGAGAATGAATGATATAGGTCTATATGTTTGTTTTTTGTTTTTGTTTTTTTCTGACCAATAGAGTAGCAAGAAACCAAATTATCTCAGATATACAGATTGAATGGGGCAGGGCAGAGGGAGGGAACAGGGAGAGAAAGCCTGTGCTGCTGGGATTCCTACATGACAGGAGCGGCCCTAAAAGCACGCCTGCATCTAGGGAGAGGCTATTCTTTGGAGTCGGGCTCACATCTCGTGGCTGGGTGAGGGCACTGCAACACGCAATGCTTGAATTGCCCAATCCTTTTGGCTTTTCTTCTTCGCAACGTTCCTACTTAACCGGCCTCCACCGACTCGGGGCGTGCAGACTCAGTAGGGCGCGAAGAGGATGGAGGCCGGGGTGGCGCGGATGGGCCCGTGGCCCGGCCTCAGCAGGGCGGGCGGGATGGCCGGCGCCTGGAAGAGCGAGGCGGAGGGCCGGGGCGGCAGGGACAGCGCGGAGGACACGGCGGCGGCCGCGGCCAGGGGCGAGGACAGGAAGGCTGGGGCCAGAGGCTTCATCATGTCTTTCTGGAATGCAAGTTTTGCCTAAAGGAAGGAGAAAACCAGGAAAGGGGGTGGGGGGATAGTTTTGCATAAGCAACACAGATATATATATAAGTTAAGCATGGGCATTAAGAAGTCAAATTAAAAAAAATCTTTACTCTCGCCCAGCCCGCGTGGCTCAGTGGATGAGCGTGGACCTATGAACCAGGCTGTAGAGCAGCTGGAAGGTAACCTGAGCAAGGCCTCCAGCTGGCCACTCCCAGGTGGAAGGTCAGCCTGGGTGCCAGGGAGATCATGAAATCCAGTTGCCTGGGTATTTACACGGCACCTATCGCTGAAGTCCTTGGGTCGTTCTTTTAAAAAATATATTTTCTTATTGATTTCGGAGAGGAAGGGAGAGGGAGAGAAACATCAATGATGAGAGAGAGTCATTGATTGGCTGCCTCCTACATCCCCCCCTCCCACTGGGGATGAAGCCCACAACCAGGGCACATGCCTTGATTGGAAATTGAACCCAGGCCGATGCTCCATCCACTGAGCCAAACCAGCAAGGGCTTTTTGGGTAATTTTGCAAACAAAACAAAACAAAACAAAAAGAAACCCAAAAAACCCCCAACCCCCCCCCCCAAAAAAAAAACAACAAAAAAAAAACCTCCAAAACTGATAACAACACATACTGAGAGCAGGTGAAACAGGCCGATTACCAACATGCCTGCTAGACACGGAAAGAGGGCAACACACACACCTATTTTACTGCCTAGAGGTTGAGGGGTTGAGGGGGGAGGCAGAAGGAAAGAAGGAGGGATATAGAGAGGGGAATAGGGAGGGAGGGAGAGAGAGAGGAGAGGGAGAGAGAGAGAGGATAGAGAGAAGGGTGGAGGACACTAAATGGGTGAGTTTTAGTTTTCAGTGCCTTTTCTTTTCTTTATACGCTAAAGAAGGTCATTTTTTTTTTATTAATATTTTGATTTTACACAGAGAGGAATTGAGAGGGATAGAGAGTTAGAAATGTCGATGAGAGAGAAACATCAACCAGCTGCCTCTTGCACACCCCCTACTGGGAATGTGCCCACAACCAAGGTACATGCCCTTGACCGGAATCGAACCCGGGACCTTTCAGTCCGCAGGCCAACACTCTATCCACTGAGCCAAACCAGTCCCAGCAAGAAGGTCATCTTTTCAAAAGGTTGCTCCTAAAAGGGTGAGGCATTAGCTCTTGAGGAGGTTCAGCTTCTCTTCTCTAAGGAAGCTTTCTTCAAGGTGTCCTACGCAGGAACTAAGCAGTTCATTCTACAATTTCTGTCTATGCTGGCTGTTTAAGTTCCAAACCTTTCAGGACTAATTAGACCCTAGGCCCTCCTTACCCACAGAATCTGCCCAACCCAGCAAGGCTGCCCCACAAACAGGTGAGCAGGCAAGGCGAACTTACTGCTAAGAGGCTTGGGCTCCGCTGGAGTTTGTTGTAGGGGCTGTATTTCGGCTTCAGTGGTTTCCCTGCAACTCGATCCTTATGCCTTCGGCTAGAAATGTGCTGAAAAAAGTTTGCTGCATTAGCTGAATCTAAATGTGAGTTCTATTTCATGTAACATATATTTCCAGATAGAGGTAGCTGGTTTCACCATGATTATGAGGCTTTCATACCAGAGGTAGATGGACCCAGTTCTAAGGTACAAATTCCAAGGTAGTGTGTGGGTCAAGACTTGCTCCTCACTCAACTGTAAGGCCTCTCTCCCTTTCCTCTTTATGTATAGATCTTATCCAACTTTGCCTGGTGTTACCACTGTGACTGTGGAGTCCCCCTAACCAGATTTTGGGTCCTTGGACGATCGGCTGAATGGCTCACTTGTCTTCCAGAAGTTCCTGCTTGACTGTGAGCTCCAGGTGACTCTGTACTCATCTGTCTCTAACACCTAGTCTGGAGTCTGACATATAGTCACAATAGGTATGCAAATATTTTATAGTGACTTTTTCTTCTACAGAGCACCTGTATTTTGCATATTGCACATAAAGGTTAGCTGATGTAACTGTGAGCACAGTGAGAAGCATTATATAGGTGAGGAGATATACAGTCAAGTGATGACCTCAAACAGTGACTACTAGTTCAGAATACATTACCTGTTTGAGTTGAATTTCTGAATTGACATGAACATCACAGATTTCACAATGAAATGTCTTGTTCTGTAGTCCTGACCCCTTACTACCATTCTGCATCTTTAATCTTGATCCAGGTCTAGGATAGGACTTAATTGGACCAGCCCCATTACGAGCTTCAACCATGGTCTTGTGTTTAGATCCTAAAACAGGAAGAGACACATATTAAATAGCGATTTAAGAACAATATGAAGCTCTTTGTTTGCTTATTCTTGAGAGGTTATCTTCAGGTTGAATTTCCCAATGCTTTTATTGTTTAATGACCATTTTAATTCTTATACATTTAACATGTTTTCGTTGCAAAAAATGGGAAAACAGAAATAAAGATTACTTATGTTTTCAAGGCCCTGACATAATCAAAGTTATCATTTTAGTGCATTTCTTTTTAGCTTAGTTTATAGTATATAAAATATAAATATAGCTAATAATGTTTTGAGAAATTTGCAAGGTGAAAGAATTATTAAAACAACAATCATAAGGTATAAAAATGTCAAGTATTTATATTATATACCCTAAATTAATATAACTAATATACTGTTGTATACCAACTATACTTAAACTTTAAAAATTAGCATAAAGTATATATATTTTTTTCAAAATTGGGATCATTCTAATTAAATATTCTGAAAATTTTACATATCAAATTATAGACATATTTTCTTATAATTATATATTTAAAAAACACTTATATTTATTGATTTTAACTTTAAAAAATACATTTTTATTGATTTTAAAGAGAGTTGTAGGAAGAGGGAGAGAGATAGAAACATCAATGAGAAACATTAATTAGCTGCCTTCTGCATGCCCCATACTGGGGATTGAGCCTGAAATCCAGGCATGTAACCTGTCTGGTGCATAGGAGTACCTTAACCCACTGAACCACACCAGCAGTCTATAATTACATTTTAATGATGGAATAATATAAACTGTCATATTGAGCTACTATAATTATTCAATACTAGAGGCCTGGTGCATGAAATTTATGCATCAGGTAGGGGGTGTCCCTAGCCCAGCATGCACCCTCTTCAATCTGGGACTCTTCGAGGGATATCTGACTTCCCTACCAGGATTGGGCCTAAATGGGAAGTTGGACATCCCTCTCACAATCCAGGACTACTGGCTCCCAACTCCTCGCCTGCCTGCCTTCCTGATTGCTCCTAACTGCTTCTGCCTACCAGCCTGATCACTCCCTAACCACTCCCCTGCCAGCCTGATTTGATGCTGAACTGCTCCCCTGCCAACCCAATTGCCCCTAACTGCCCTCCCCTGCCATCCTGGTCACCCCTAACTTCCCTCCACTGCAGACTTGATTGCCCCTAGTTGCCCTTCCTTGCAGGCCTGGTCCCCCACAACTGCCCTTCCATGCAGGCCTAGTTGGCCCCAACTTCCCTCCTCTGCCAGTCTGGTCACCCCCCACTGCCCTCCCCTGATGGCTTGATTGCCCACAACTGCCCTCCCTTGTAGGCCTGGTTCCTTCCAACTGCCCTCCCCTGCTGGCCATCTTGTGGCAGCCATCTTGTGTGTTTGAGTGATGGTCAATTTGCATATTACTCTTTTATTATATAGGATAGAGACCTGGTTCATGGGTGGGGTCCAGCTAGTTTGCCCTGAAGGATGTCCCAGATCAGGGTGGGGTTCCCTTGGGGCATGGGGAGGTCTTGGGTGAGGGGCCTGTGGTAGTTTGCAGGCTGGCCATGCCCCCTGGCAACCCAAGGATAAGCCAGGGCCAGTTGGAAGCAGGTATCTGGGATTTATTTTTCTTCTATAATTGAAACTTGGTAGCCTTGAGCAGCAGCCAGGGCCAGCCAGGAAACTTGGCTTCTTTCATTGCTGGGGGAAACCCAAGCCTCCTGCTCGTTCCAGCTCTGTGGCGGTCACCATCTTAGTTGGGTTAATTTGCATACTCACTCTGATTGGCTGGTGGGCAAAGCAGAGTGATGGTATATTTGCATATTTTTCTTTTATTAGTGTAGTTTTCCTTACTGAGGGACTTTTAGGTTGTTTCTATTTTTTTTTTTTTTCTCTTGTAAGTGTTTTGCAGTGAACATTGTGCATAGGTATACTAGTATATCTTTATCCTGTCACTCCCCTGTAGTGCTTTTGGGGAGGTATTAGGTACATTTAGAAAATATAGAATATTAATAGAACAAATTTTATCTCCAATCTGCTTTTGCCTTGCTGCTTCTAATGTCAATATGATTAGGCATTTCTCAAAATCATACATATGAATCAAAAAAGTAGAGAAGACACTGAACTAACCTAATGTTTGAACACCCAATGTTTTCTGAAGGGAAAAGTTGTATTTTGTTATGCACATTATTTAAATCCCAACAATAGTCACTAACCTGTGTTGTGTGCCTCTAGCTGTGACAGGGAGTTCACAGCCACTTTGCATAGTGAACAATAAAGCAATTTTTTGGCTTTTTCTTCTTCTGATTCAGAGACAGTACCAGGAGCTCCATTTGTGCTCTTGGAGGGAGAGGTGTCTGCTCCCGGTGGCAGGGGTGGCAGGGGTGTTGTGCCAGATTTGAGGAGAAACGAGCCACCTTCAGAGTTTGATGGCTGGCTGGAACTGCTGACTTTTAGCTTCCCTCTGTCTTCTAAGAGAGACACAGAGAAAAGGTATTAAAGCCTCATGTATCATATCAACACAGATAAATGAATAATAAAAGAGTTAAAAATAAGATTTTGATTTCTATATTTGGTTCTACCCCAGCACAGAGTTTAGTCCATCAAGTCTGATTAAAACAGAATCCCATGCCATCAGTTTCCATATCAGGGCACCCCAAGGTCATGGTGACATGAAAAATGACTTTATTCTCCCACTTGAAGCAGGTAACTTTCTATCTAATATCCTTGAATTGTAAATTTTGCTCCAGGATATCTTTAATATATAGGGAAACCAGATACCCTCCAATATGATGACATGATCTGTTAGACATGAAATAAGTCATTAGGCAACAGGAATTCCATTTGACTACTCGTATTTTAATGGATATAAAGTTAAAGTTAAAATTCAATTTTTATACCAAGTTAAATATTTCAAGTTTGGCATGTGTGGCAAAGAGGAGGATAGAAACATGGTTTATTTTGGTTATGATTAGTTAAGTTTTTGCTACTCTTTGAATGGGAATGATTTATCTAAAATATGGGATGCAAAGATTCCATTATATGTATTTATGTATTATATTTTTGTAAAATATTTGTATAAATTTAATTATATTAATCAAATATTTGTATAAATTTCTGTATAATATTCTATTTTTATCAAAACCCATTTTATTATTCTTTTTCTGTGAACTGTTTTCTGCTTCCTTTAATTCTTTTTTTTTAAAAATTTAACCTTGCTAGGCTGGCATGGCTCAGGGGATGGAGCATCAGCCTGCAGACTAAAGGGCCCCAGGTTTGATTCCAGTCAAGGTCATGTGCCTGGGATGGAGGCTTGATGCCCAGTGTGAGGCCTGTGGGAGGCAGCCGATCAATGATTCTCTCATCATTGATGTTTCTCTCTCTCTCCCTTTCCCTTTCTCTCTGAAATCAATAAAAAATATATTTTTAAAAAATTAATCTTGTTTTTGAGAGTATTACAGATGCCCCCTTTTTATTCCATATTGACCTCCTCCACTCCTTACCTGCTCCCTCCCCCAAGCCTTCACTATACTATTGTCTGAGTCTATGGGTTATGCATATATGCATACAAATTCTTTGGTTAATCTCTCCCCAACCAGCAACCCATAATGACATTAACCATAAGCACAGTATAAGGTTAAACCAAGTAAGTTACAGACATCTGGCATTTTGATCATGCAGCTACTAAATGATTATAATCCTCAAGGCCCAATATGCAGTCTGTTTGAGGGGCCAGAGTGACTTTAACTCTTCAGGATTCATTTGCTATTCAAGAAGCTCTGTTCATTGGCTCCTTTGGGAAAGAAAAGGGAACTTCTTAGGCAACAGCAAAATCCATCACAGGTTTAATCCTACTAGAGCTGGTGCTCTTAGAAAATGGCCATAGATATGCTAATAAACTCTCATTAAGAGAGAAAGGGAATTAAACCCGAAGATGTATTTGTTCCTTGCCCTAGCTAATTTGGAGCAGTGTACCATGGGAACTGTGTGATGGCCAAGAGGCCAGGTATGACCATGGAAACAGCAACATGACAGTGTGTCTGTTCTGCATACCTGGCAGGCCAAAGTTTTCACACACATCAAAACTAAAAGGAGATCACATTTCTACTTGATTGATTGAGGGATCAGCTGTTGACTCCCATCCCTTTTTCTACCTAGGACCCATCCAGGTCAAGACCAGAGATAGCAGGAATTCTACAGATGAATTTCAAGTTAGAATAAGTGAATGCTCAGATCCCTTTTTATCCTTAAATTCCACAATCTATATTCCTTTCCAGCAACTTTATTAAAACTTTAGGATGCCATGAAGTATGATGGAAAATATTTTAGATGTTCACTAAACTGACCTCAACAGTAGAGAAGGAAATGGAATCATCATTCCTAAATGAAAATAGTGAGTAAATTAGATTGAAGATTACTTCAGGCCTGGAACTCTTTTATCTATAAGGACCCCTCAGACTAAAATTGCAATTTTATAAGAACACACCAACTAAAATTATTCAGTAATCTTAACACTTGCCCTTATGGCATTACTGTTTCTTATGATGGAAATTTAAGTTTTTGCATAGCAAACTCTTTCCTTCAAACATTTCATACAATATTTCATATAAATTTGACCTAAAGAATCTGACCTGTTTTAGTCACTTATTTTCTCTTTTTCATATTACTATTTTAATGTCCCTTATATTGATTTCCTTCATATGTTCCTACATTAATAAAGAATTTTATGATTTCCAAAGTACTATCACTTACATTGTCTTCTTATCTCTCACAGCAAACTTGTGAAACAGGCAAGGCAGCAAATGATTATTTCTTTCTTAAATGTGAGGAAACTAGGGCTCATATAGATTAAATAATGTCCCATAGGTTAGTAGGTGGCATAAATGAGCATGATGCTTTCTCTAGCTATTCATGAGTGGTAGTGTTTTAAAACCATAGTTTAGTTTTAAGGCTTATTTTCCTTAAAGTATTTACCCTATCAATAGTTATCCAACTCAGGTAACATTGAGAAGATGAACAAAATTGAATCTTTTTCTCTGTATCCCTATTTCTTTAAGAAAAATATAACATTTCCTTTTCATAACTCTTTTTCAAAAGCGGTCATTAATTCATTAACAGAGGCATATTAACAATATGCTAGCTGCTGACAAGGTGCTAGACTGTAGGTATAGACTTGAAGAAAGTAACAGTTTAGCACAGGAAATGAGACAGTCATTGAGAGATGCCTAATTTATGATGGAAGCTAGTAAGAGGCATGAGAGCATAGAGCGGGGAAATGATTACTTCTGGCCTAGGAAAAGGGAGACATTTTTCATGAAGAAAGTGGCATTTTGGCTGGGTTTTGAAGGTCAAATTTAGATAAGCATAGAAGGGGGTGAAAAGGAGAGGGAGGTGAATGGATGGAATAAGTGAAACATGAGGGAATGCTTAGGTGTTAGAAAGTGGGGTCTGCCTAGTGAATATCTGGTATCATCATAGATGATAACAACAACACCTAACTTTGTTATTCCTCATTTTAATTGCAGGATATTTTTTATTAAATCCCATTATATCATTTCTCTTTCTTTACTGGCATTTTAAAGCCTCCTTATTTTGTGTATTAGAAAATTTAATTAATGTACTGTTTACTTCGTGTGTTTTTTTTAATAAGAGGCATGTCATCAGCAACTTCTGGTTAATATGAATTCCACTCAAGTATTCCCTCACATAATGCAGGGCTCTGACTGTCTTAATTATTTTCTGATTACTCACACACCTTTTCAAAGGTTTTATCCTCTAGGATTTTGAAGCAAAATTTGCTCAGCTACATCAGAATTGCCCTTTGTAACAGATATCCATAATTTATGCAGCCAAGTGCATTTATTTCTTCAAAGTAGCCTCCTTGGGAGGTTCCACGTTAATTTACTTCAACATTTTGAAAACCTTTTTTGGGGAGCTGTTAACATATCCAGCTGATAAACCATGTGAAGGAAATCAGCTTTTAATAAAAAAATCAGTATTTTTTATTTCAGAAACTTTACTCAAATTAACCCACATATTCATCAAACTGAGCACTATATGACTCAAATACAGCCTCAGAGGACTAATATCCTAACACAGAAAAAAAAAAATAAACAACAACAACAAAAAAAAAAAACATGCCCAATATTACATATTGGGCAAATCTGATGCCAGTGGCCCCTTCACGTACAATGCCATGTCATCATGCCTAGAGCCAAATTCCAGAAACTCGGTGTCTTCAAGCACAGTTGATCACTGGGAAGCTTGCTAATTCCTGATGAACTACATTTCTATCTAAGTTTTACATCTTAGCTTTTAGACTAATCCTGGAAGCAGAGAAAATTACCTATAAATTAAAGTGACTCTTCACTAAGTCAGAATCTGTATGGCCTTATCCTTAAGAGATACAAAGAAGCCTATTCATTTTAAATAACTTAAGCCAGTTTACTAATTTCTGAAGTTCAAAAACAGTCCAGGGCTGCAATTTTCTGCCAGGCTACCATCCTGACTTTGGATATCCCTGCTCTCTCCATTTGAAAGCCTATGCCAATTGGGTCCTGGCCATTGAACTACCCCCTGCAGTGACTTTGTGGCCCAATAATATGGCCGTCATTGTCTGAGGTCTGCATGACAATTGCCCTTTTAGTCTGAGGTCTGCATGACAACTGCCCCACTGTCCCCTGTGCCACTTTGTTGGGGAGCAGAAACTGTCAGTGTTACACTCAGATAAAACAGTGGCACCTCCAGATATTTCCATGTTGAAACTGGCACTGATAGTAATAAACTTGTCACTTTTAGTTCTGTTTTTTGGGAACTTTTCTGAGAGTTTATTTGAGCCAAACAGAGGACATGCCTGCACTTGTCACTTTTCTAAGGGAGCACAAAAGAGGGCTTGTTTGCTAGTGTTTGAATCTAATGAACAGCTTTCTCCTATTTTGTGTAGTTTTCCAGCCATTTGACTCGTACAATAGAAAAGTCACATTTCAACTTCTTCAGGGTGAAAAATTGCCCCCTTTCCGATTTGTCACCAAGAGATGTGAAACAGTTATTTTGGAGGCAGCTTTATTATGGAAAATAGAATAACTAACTCATGCCACTCAAATCAAGTCCCTCAGGGAGTAGGTCCAGTAATGATTCAGAACCCAGAAATAAGATTAAAAATGAATTTTCTAGGTTGAATGAGGAGCAAGTTCTTTTTCTTGTAACTGAATGGCCCTTTACAAAGGAATCATAGGCTCTCAAGGTACAAGGAAAATGTTTGAATTTTGCTCCTCTCACCTCCTTCCTCTCTAAATGAAGAGTTGAGGGTTCAGCTTTGATACTCCAGGGAGGGGGAAATGCACACTGACAATGGGAAGGTCAGCCTGAGAGCTAATGAGGAAACTCAGTTTTTCTTCACCTAAAAAATGTAACTGTTTAATACAGAAAATATAAAAAATTTATGGTCAGCAAACAAGCTTATTGCCTCAGG